CCTGTGTTGTCCTGTGTCTAATCAAATACAATGTCAGCTAAGTCCCAGCTTTCCTCGTCCTGTTCATAGTAGGCCCCAGGCTAAATTTTTGGTTGGGTGACTAGCTGTCCCTAGTAGCTGCATTTCTTCACGTCGACATTTTTGCAACATCATGGTTCGTGCGTGGTTTATGGACGATTCCAAAGAGGACCAACGTCTTCCACATCAGCCAGATCCAATTCAGGAGGTTCCTGTCGATTCCCTTAAGAARATAGGGGTTTTGTACTGGAAGGTACTTGAGAAAAACTTAACATTCTCGACGTAGTGTTYTCCACGTAGTGTTAGGATAATAGATTCCTTTGTAGCATACAAACGGCGTTTGCACGAAAAAAATACACTTGAATTTTTGATGATAATATTCAGTCACAAGGMCAAGGAKAAACCAAGAAATCTATCCTGAAGATCTTCATTTAATGTAAACAATACTGCCTTTGATGGGTGAATATTCAACAATCAATACCCATAGAAACTTTCGCTCGTGCATTCGCCTATTGCCCTGTCAACTTTTCCTTAATTAAGTATATAGGGCGACTCTAGAATACCTTGACCCATTCCTGGCACAATAGAAATTTGCATGTCAGCTGTATTAGCAAATTGAACTCTGATTGGGTGACGACCATTTAWATCAGAGGAGAGAGACACTGCTTACCGGCGAAATTTGTTTTTCACTCGGAAAATTCAGAAAAGTTTGATAAAAGAACTATAAAACAGCCACTTGTGTCTCTGTCGTTTAATATAAACATGGTGGGAGTTGAAAAGCACTTGAGAAGCAAGAGAAACACTTGCTACGCTCGTGTAGCTTGCTTCTCTCATGTTTTTCAACTTCCACCAGAAACAGAGATATGCCGTTTTATATTCTTAAGTGATGTTATAAAGGGAAGATTATGACGAAATTTAACAGGTATTAACAATATCAGACATTTTTTCACAGCTTGATGCTGACAATTTTGACAAAGAGGGTTTGTTGGACAAGATCAAGAAAGAGAGAGGCTATACTTATGAAGACAATATCACATGCACACCNAATATCTAAAGTCGGCTATTCAAATCAGTAGACGTATTATGTCTTTGTTACAATACGTTGTGTAAAGTAGACCATGAAGTACATGGATGAATGCAGTTTTTTACGACACTTGTGTAAATTTTGTGCGCTTATTGACAAGTGTGTAAATAACAAGATATATACACTGTACTGATACCATCACATCTTACATTTGTGCTCATTTGAAAGAAAAAAATGATTTTTGCTAATTTTTTAGACTTAAAATGTGGTAAAAAACAAACTGCACATACTATTTTTTTAGTGTATGTTCAAAACTGAACTACCCCTTTCTCCTTTTGTAAGGAGATTTTCAGAATTGCCTTTTAATAGATGCAACATAGCACATGCTAGCTATGGTTTGTTATAATTTGCCATTCCTTTGATCAACTAACAGATCAAGCACTTCTTTGAGGAGCATCTTCACTCTGATGAAGAGATTCGTTTCATCACTGATGGCAGTGGATACTTTGATGTGAGGGACTTGGATGACAAATGGATTCGCATTGAGGTTGTTAAAGGCGACTTGATTATCTTGCCTGCAGGAATTTATCATCGATTCACACTTGACACCAAGGTAGGTTATTGGAAGAAATAGGCCGTTTGCATTATGACATAACTTTACTACAACTACCAGAGAGCCTTGCGCATTTTCATTGTTATTCAGATTTTTAATCCCCTTGGAGATTAATAAAACAATTGGCACTAATTGCATTACAAGTTGTAGTAAATGACGCCATAATGCATATCAACTATTGAAAAGTGAAGCCTGCCCTCATAGCAGCCTGAGTATCAGGCTCTCTTGAAGGGGTTTGGGGTGGAGCGACACGAGAGAGAGAGAGAGAGAGAGAGAGGGAGAGCGTCGTTCGGTAACATAATATAATATATATAATTTACTTTTGGCCATTTCCTTTGCCCTCTAAACCAATCAGTGTTTCAGCAGAACACAGCTGTCGATAGAAAATTGTGTCAGGTTGTCTCTCCCATGTCACTCTGCCCCAATCCCCTTCGAGAGAGCCTGATACCTACCTACCTACCTACCTGGCTACCTTTGTGAGATGACATGATGTTTCTTCAAAACCTTAAAAAATGTTATTTTTATGGAAAATATTTCTATTGCAATCATCTTTTCTCATAGAATTACATCCAAGCCAAGCGGCTTTTTGTTGGTGAGCCTGTCTGGACTCCACATAATAGGCCAGCTGATGACCTACCTTCACGCCAGTCTTACCTCAAGAGCGTCAAGGCCCATTAGAAACTGCATAGGCAACAATTCATAGTGAGCTGTAGAAGCTTAGAACCTATAATTCCAATCCATAAATCTGAATTACACCATACATATTGACTATAAGTACTTTTATAATACTAATCACATGGTTAGTTACAAACAGTCGTAGAATGAACAGTACTGAGATCATGGTAATTGATAGTTCAGCTGACAAGGCAGACATTGTTCAATGTATTTAGTTGCGGGAGAATGCATTTTAATAATAGCATCATAGAGACACCTACCAGACCTACCAGTTTCCTCTCTAACCTCAAGAAGAGAAGGAACCTTGAGAATGATGGAAACAGGCTTTGAAGAGTCAAAGGCAGTAAAATACTAGAGTAAAAGTTAAAATCAAAAGTTTGTTGTCTTATTTTATTTCATTCTTCACTGGAAAAAAAATCCAGACAGCTTACTGAATTAGAAGAAAAGAAAAAGTTTCATGTGAAAACGAAAATCTTTCCTTTTTTCACACCTCATTCTTCGTTCAAACCATTAGAAAAAGATGGTTCCTACAGTATTGTGATATCGCAGAAACTGACCGTTACTTAGAAACACGAGTTGCATTTTTAAAAGAACTGTATTTAAGTAAATTATGTGTACTTGATTGATACCGGAAGTCACTGTGACGACTACTTCCTGTTAGAAATGATCAGAGTCTATGTTAATCGGTGTGATAAGCTTCTTTATTGCAAAGTTATGGTGATATATCCACAAGAGAATAAATTGCAGACGAATTTCTTTAAACGGAGGAGTTTTTATAGGAACCGGATGTTGAACTYGTGTTTGCAGAGAGGGAGTCGATATTTGCATATTGTTCAACTAGTTTACTCACTTGAAGGACAAGACGCGRACAAATCGCTGAAAAACTATTAGTTCAAAACAGGTGTTTGTCATCGCTACTTCATTTCAAGATCGTTTCTTGAATTCAAAGCCGCATTTTGAATACTTAAAAGACAATATAATTCGTTCACCACGGACAAAGGACGTCACCAATCGCTGATCAACACAGAAAGKGTGGTGAGAGGTAACTAAGGTGAAAACTCTCCTGGTTTTTAATAATATTCCAATGAATTGACTACCACAAACACAGCGTATTTCACTTCTATGTAAAGAAACGCTTGATGATGTAATGGACTTTATGAGCAAGAAGTTTCGAGTAAGGGTAAATAATAGTTGTAGCAGTTCAAGAAGTGGTCGCCGCTCATGCGGGAAGATGGCGACGGATAGCAGTGATGATAACCCGATATGGCCATCAATCGCCGGTCCAAGCGTTCCCGAAAACAATCCAAAACTATGGAAAACACCGCGTCTTGATATGAGTAGCTCTTTGTCGTTTTTGCGACGCGAGTTGGTGAGTATAATTCTAAAAGTTACTTCTTTTGAAATCATTATTACATTTAACTCGGCCAACCGGCAACACGAAATAAATTGTGACCGTAGATTAAAAGTTTTTCTAAAACCATGTAATGCATTAAAACCGATTCTTGAAAGTGAATGATTTTAAAGAAGAKGGATTTCTTATGCTGCCTCATTTGATGAAGAACACAAACTATAAAATATCCTATGCAGTATGCAAATTACGGTCAAATTCACTTTTATGGATTTGAAGCACTCTTTTTCTACAATCATTGAAAAACAACTGAATACCAATTAAACTTATGCATCCTATATGAAAAAAGGAACGGAATATTTCTTTTAATAAAAAGAGAACCAAGTTCGATGCAATTAGTGCCCACAAACGTCTAAATTCCAGGAACGCTCGCATCGTTGGTTTGACCGTCCAATTTATAGTCCGTAGTGCGAAACGTTTTTTTACTATAATACGAGGTATAGAGCTCCTGTGGTGAACAGATTTTAATAATCATTTACAACCTGTTAACTATATTAAAACGCGCTACACATTCAAACGTTTAGACAGATTTTCGCGAAATTTTGAGTTCAATATCTTTTGTTGACCGTAGTTGAGTTTGAAGGTAAATAAAATTAATCCAGGGTATCTTTAGTTAATCAAACTTATATCAACTTATAATACGTGTTGCAATCTCAAATTGTGAAATTTCTAGAGTTTTTTTAAAAAATTGAATGATTKTAATTTTTTACAAACGCAAAACCCTGAAGTACAAACCGAGTGAAAAACACCGCTTGATCAATTAGCCATCTCGTTAAAAAGAATTAACCCTTTAATGTCGTTTATTAGTTTTTAGCAACTCTCTTGCTGTCATCTAAAGTAAAACGTTTTTGTCTGGTCATTGCGAGTTCATGATTTAAAAATTATGTCAGAATCCAACGACAAAACACAAGGAAACACGAAGGCGGGAATCTCGTTTTGTGTACAAGACAAAAGAGTAGAAAACAGATGTAAACATAAAAGAAAAAGTGTCTAGCTTCAGCTGTATCAGTCTRGCTTTGTTTTTGAGATATATATTGCGAATGAATAACGCCTGGCGATAATTATTTAAGATTGTACTGTGAACAAGATTATAACAAAGCTGTATATCGAAATGATTAAACGTAACGCTGTCCACAGGCAGTGTCTGTTTTACGTAACGAAATAACGATACGAATAGACTACGGAAACGCATATGTGAACGTAGTCGGAAAAATCTTCTGCAAGAGACTGGAAGGATTCATAATATTTTGGAGAAAACTCCAAAAATCAAAACGTTACAAAACGTTTTCAAGTGGACTTTGCAGAACTATATAAAGATTAGATCCGCAAGCACTCGACATTTCAACGGTGTTACGTAAGCTTTTACAAAATGCAATGCTAAAACGCTACAAAAATGTAGTTCCGTCATGGGGATTGAGAGATGGAAGAATTTTAAGCTCAAAGACTTTTTCAAATATGTTTTTTTTTACAGGAGAAACTGACCTGATTATCGGTACCACAATTGTTTATCGTTGTATTTATGTTAATGCTTTTCTACGAGGCTTAACTGGCTATTTTGCCAACAAGTTATAATAACATAAAATACTCTAATTATCGCCCGAGGGGATTAATAGCATCATATTACCCTGACAAACAAGTCCGTTTTAACTGGAAAATGATTTATTAGGATCGCCTTAAGTGGCAGTCTAGAAATTGTTCTTAACGTTATAGATTTTTTTGAAGTATGTTTTGAATAAGTTAAAGACGTTTTTGTCAAGACACAAAACAACCAGACGACTGGTCTTTGATTGTCTTAAAAAAGATTACAACAAAGGCATCACCATTGTCATACTGCTCCGTGTGCAGACATTCTAAAACTGATCTTATCAGTTTAATGAAATTTTAAGTTCGTATAATGCTTTGGTGTTTTTGCCGATTCTGGATGTTTTTACATTTATATTATCTTTTAGTCGAGCCTGTGTGATACTGGTCGCGAATGAAAACCACTAGAATATATTGGACCTTAAACTTGGCTCACACAACAACGCAAGCAATGCAAAACGTCAACGCGAGAAGGGAAAACGTTATTATTTCATTAAAACGTGCTCCACATAAGAACAACGCAAGCGCACATGCCAAAAAATGAAACAAAAGAAACACTGAACTCTTTTTTTTTTTTTTTTTTTTTTTTTTTTTTTTTTTTTTTTTTTTTTTTTTTTTTTTTTTTTTTTTTTTTTTTTTTTTTTTTTTTTTTTTTTTTTTGCATATTTAACTTGCGGAACAGCAAGGTGCATTGTTTGCGTTTACGCTCCTCACGTGGAGCGGGCTAACGTAATGTACAAATTCGTACTCTTAACCCGCGTTAAATGTTCGCCCTTCGTAAGTTTTGTGGGCTCTCATACTTGCGTAAGCGTTCTATGACTTCTTAAATCGGTGTTTGTGTATCAATTAATCCATCAATCAATCACTTAATCAATTAAAAGCAAATTTATCTCTATTTCTTAGGCCGCTATGCAGCTTCAGGACCGTGGAATACACAAACAATTACTGGCATTGAATTCTGTCATACGGGATCTCAAGACCACCCTTCAWGAATCATGGGAAAACGAAGAYACTCTGAACCAGACTCCCGAAGACGATGTAGACGGGGAGGCACTATGTTCTACTAATACACAGGTATCCCACACTAAGCAAGATTCAGGAATTCTAACAGATGAGGAAAGTGATGAAGAATGCGACATCTTTGAACCTCAAGATGTGGTCCGTCCACTTCGAGGCAGATCACAAAGTACGTCTGCAATCTGCATTTCCAGCGGTAGTTATACAGGACCAGAACTAGACATCAATCAAAATGTCAAAACATCAATCAAAGGTCGAGTGATAACACCTCGACCCAGGTCCCACACTGTAGGCGAAGGACAATTCCACAGGGTAACCAGCATGCCTGTGATCAATGAAATCCCGGGTAGTACAAACTTTACATTCAGCGGTAAAGCGTTCGCCGTTTCAGGGTATCTAAACAGACCAAGAAGTTCACACGAGACGTCGTCTCCTGCTTCTCTTTCTCGGCATGGTAGTATGCCTGTTATCTCGAATATTGGAAGGACTAACGTACGGCATGTTCGCTCAGAGACGGTGCCGATACACAGAGGTCTTCACAAAACCTTCAGCTCAACTAGTCAGGTTAATAGGACAAACAAAAAACCGCTGTACAGAATATGGCGGTCGTCAAGCCAGATATCATTAGTATGAAGAATGGTTATGAGTTCCTCCACCCCTAACCCNTGACGAAATTTAACAGGTATTAACAATATCAGACATTTTTTCACAGCTTGATGCTGACAATTTTGACAAAGAGGGTTTGTTGGACAAGATCAAGAAAGAGAGAGGCTATACTTATGAAGACAATATCACATGCACACCGGAAAAGCTGCCCAACTATGAAGAAAAGGTAAACCAGTAGAGTGTGCCTTTTGAATTCAAATCAGTAGACGTGTTATGTCTTTGTTACAATACGTTGTGTAAATTAGACCATGAAGTACATGGATGAWTGCAGTTTTTTACGACACTTGTGTAAATTTTGTGCGCTTATTGACGAGTGTGTAAATAACAAGATATATACACTGTACTGATACCATCACATCTTACATTTGTGCTCATTTGAAAGAAAAAAATGATTTTTGCTAATTTTTTAGACTTAAAATGTGGTAAAAAACAAACTGCACATASTATTTTTTAGTGTATGTTCAAAACTGAACTACCCCTTTCTCCTTTTGTAAGGAGATTAACAGAATTGCCTTTTAATAGATGCAACATAGCACATGCTAGCTATGGTTTGTTATAATTTGCCATTCCTTTGATCAACTAACAGATCAAGCACTTCTTTGAGGAGCATCTTCACTCTGATGAAGAGATTCGTTTCATCACTGATGGCAGTGGATACTTTGATGTGAGGGACTTGGATGACAAATGGATTCGCATTGAGGTTGTTAAAGGCGACTTGATTATCTTGCCTGCAGGAATTTATCATCGATTCACACTTGACACCAAGGTAGGTTATTGGAAGAAATAGGCCGTTTGCATTATGACATAACTTTACTACAACTACCAGAGAGCCTTGCGCATTTTCATTGTTATTCAGATTTTTAATCCCCTTGGAGATTAATAAAACAATTGGCACTAATTGCATTACAAGTTGTAGTAAATGACGCCATAATGCATATCAACTATTGAAAAGTGAAGCCTGCCCTCATAGCAGCCTGAGTATCAGGCTCTCTTGAAGGGGTTTGGGGTGGAGCGACACGAGAGAGAGAGAGAGAGAGAGAGAGGGAGAGCGTCGTTCGGTAACATAATATAATATATATAATTTACTTTTGGCCATTTCCTTTGCCCTCTAAACCAATCAGTGTTTCAGCAGAACACAGCTGTCGATAGAAAATTGTGTCAGGTTGTCTCTCCCATGTCACTCTGCCCCAATCCCCTTCGAGAGAGCCTGATACCTACCTACCTACCTACCTGGCTACCTTTGTGAGATGACATGATGTTTCTTCAAAACCTTAAAAAATGTTATTTTTATGGAAAATATTTCTATTGCAATCATCTTTTCTCATAGAATTACATCCAAGCCAAGCGGCTTTTTGTTGGTGAGCCTGTCTGGACTCCACATAATAGGCCAGCTGATGACCTACCTTCACGCCAGTCTTACCTCAAGAGCGTCAAGGCCCATTAGAAACTGCATAGGCAACAATTCATAGTGAGCTGTAGAAGCTTAGAACCTATAATTCCAATCCATAAATCTGAATTACACCATACATATTGACTATAAGTACTTTTATAATACTAATCACATGGTTAGTTACAAACAGTCGTAGAATGAACAGTACTGAGATCATGGTAATTGATAGTTCAGCTGACAAGGCAGACATTGTTCAATGTATTTAGTTGCGGGAGAATGCATTTTAATAATAGCATCATAGAGACACCTACCAGACCTACCAGTTTCCTCTCTAACCTCAAGAAGAGAAGGAACCTTGAGAATGATGGAAACAGGCTTTGAAGAGTCAAAGGCAGTAAAATACTAGAGTAAAAGTTAAAATCAAAAGTTTGTTGTCTTATTTTATTTCATTCTTCACTGGAAAAAAAATCCAGACAGCTTACTGAATTAGAAGAAAAGAAAAAGTTTCATGTGAAAACGAAAATCTTTCCTTTTTTCACACCTCATTCTTCGTTCAAACCATTAGAAAAAGATGGTTCCTACAGTATTGTGATATCGCAGAAACTGACCGTTACTTAGAAACACGAGTTGCATTTTTAAAAGAACTGTATTTAAGTAAATTATGTGTACTTGATTGATACCGGAAGTCACTGTGACGACTACTTCCTGTTAGAAATGATCAGAGTCTATGTTAATCGGTGTGATAAGCTTCTTTATTGCAAAGTTATGGTGATATATCCACAAGAGAATAAATTGCAGACGAATTTCTTTAAACGGAGGAGTTTTTATAGGAACCGGATGTTGAACTYGTGTTTGCAGAGAGGGAGTCGATATTTGCATATTGTTCAACTAGTTTACTCACTTGAAGGACAAGACGCGRACAAATCGCTGAAAAACTATTAGTTCAAAACAGGTGTTTGTCATCGCTACTTCATTTCAAGATCGTTTCTTGAATTCAAAGCCGCATTTTGAATACTTAAAAGACAATATAATTCGTTCACCACGGACAAAGGACGTCACCAATCGCTGATCAACACAGAAAGKGTGGTGAGAGGTAACTAAGGTGAAAACTCTCCTGGTTTTTAATAATATTCCAATGAATTGACTACCACAAACACAGCGTATTTCACTTCTATGTAAAGAAACGCTTGATGATGTAATGGACTTTATGAGCAAGAAGTTTCGAGTAAGGGTAAATAATAGTTGTAGCAGTTCAAGAAGTGGTCGCCGCTCATGCGGGAAGATGGCGACGGATAGCAGTGATGATAACCCGATATGGCCATCAATCGCCGGTCCAAGCGTTCCCGAAAACAATCCAAAACTATGGAAAACACCGCGTCTTGATATGAGTAGCTCTTTGTCGTTTTTGCGACGCGAGTTGGTGAGTATAATTCTAAAAGTTACTTCTTTTGAAATCATTATTACATTTAACTCGGCCAACCGGCAACACGAAATAAATTGTGACCGTAGATTAAAAGTTTTTCTAAAACCATGTAATGCATTAAAACCGATTCTTGAAAGTGAATGATTTTAAAGAAGAKGGATTTCTTATGCTGCCTCATTTGATGAAGAACACAAACTATAAAATATCCTATGCAGTATGCAAATTACGGTCAAATTCACTTTTATGGATTTGAAGCACTCTTTTTCTACAATCATTGAAAAACAACTGAATACCAATTAAACTTATGCATCCTATATGAAAAAAGGAACGGAATATTTCTTTTAATAAAAAGAGAACCAAGTTCGATGCAATTAGTGCCCACAAACGTCTAAATTCCAGGAACGCTCGCATCGTTGGTTTGACCGTCCAATTTATAGTCCGTAGTGCGAAACGTTTTTTTACTATAATACGAGGTATAGAGCTCCTGTGGTGAACAGATTTTAATAATCATTTACAACCTGTTAACTATATTAAAACGCGCTACACATTCAAACGTTTAGACAGATTTTCGCGAAATTTTGAGTTCAATATCTTTTGTTGACCGTAGTTGAGTTTGAAGGTAAATAAAATTAATCCAGGGTATCTTTAGTTAATCAAACTTATATCAACTTATAATACGTGTTGCAATCTCAAATTGTGAAATTTCTAGAGTTTTTTTAAAAAATTGAATGATTKTAATTTTTTACAAACGCAAAACCCTGAAGTACAAACCGAGTGAAAAACACCGCTTGATCAATTAGCCATCTCGTTAAAAAGAATTAACCCTTTAATGTCGTTTATTAGTTTTTAGCAACTCTCTTGCTGTCATCTAAAGTAAAACGTTTTTGTCTGGTCATTGCGAGTTCATGATTTAAAAATTATGTCAGAATCCAACGACAAAACACAAGGAAACACGAAGGCGGGAATCTCGTTTTGTGTACAAGACAAAAGAGTAGAAAACAGATGTAAACATAAAAGAAAAAGTGTCTAGCTTCAGCTGTATCAGTCTRGCTTTGTTTTTGAGATATATATTGCGAATGAATAACGCCTGGCGATAATTATTTAAGATTGTACTGTGAACAAGATTATAACAAAGCTGTATATCGAAATGATTAAACGTAACGCTGTCCACAGGCAGTGTCTGTTTTACGTAACGAAATAACGATACGAATAGACTACGGAAACGCATATGTGAACGTAGTCGGAAAAATCTTCTGCAAGAGACTGGAAGGATTCATAATATTTTGGAGAAAACTCCAAAAATCAAAACGTTACAAAACGTTTTCAAGTGGACTTTGCAGAACTATATAAAGATTAGATCCGCAAGCACTCGACATTTCAACGGTGTTACGTAAGCTTTTACAAAATGCAATGCTAAAACGCTACAAAAATGTAGTTCCGTCATGGGGATTGAGAGATGGAAGAATTTTAAGCTCAAAGACTTTTTCAAATATGTTTTTTTTTACAGGAGAAACTGACCTGATTATCGGTACCACAATTGTTTATCGTTGTATTTATGTTAATGCTTTTCTACGAGGCTTAACTGGCTATTTTGCCAACAAGTTATAATAACATAAAATACTCTAATTATCGCCCGAGGGGATTAATAGCATCATATTACCCTGACAAACAAGTCCGTTTTAACTGGAAAATGATTTATTAGGATCGCCTTAAGTGGCAGTCTAGAAATTGTTCTTAACGTTATAGATTTTTTTGAAGTATGTTTTGAATAAGTTAAAGACGTTTTTGTCAAGACACAAAACAACCAGACGACTGGTCTTTGATTGTCTTAAAAAAGATTACAACAAAGGCATCACCATTGTCATACTGCTCCGTGTGCAGACATTCTAAAACTGATCTTATCAGTTTAATGAAATTTTAAGTTCGTATAATGCTTTGGTGTTTTTGCCGATTCTGGATGTTTTTACATTTATATTATCTTTTAGTCGAGCCTGTGTGATACTGGTCGCGAATGAAAACCACTAGAATATATTGGACCTTAAACTTGGCTCACACAACAACGCAAGCAATGCAAAACGTCAACGCGAGAAGGGAAAACGTTATTATTTCATTAAAACGTGCTCCACATAAGAACAACGCAAGCGCACATGCCAAAAAATGAAACAAAAGAAACACTGAACTCTTTTTTTTTTTTTTTTTTTTTTTTTTTTTTTTTTTTTTTTTTTTTTTTTTTTTTTTTTTTTTTTTTTTTTTTTTTTTTTTTTTTTTTTTTTTTTTGCATATTTAACTTGCGGAACAGCAAGGTGCATTGTTTGCGTTTACGCTCCTCACGTTGAGCGGGCTAACGTAACGTACAAATTTCGAACTCTTAACCCGCGTTAAATGTTCGCCCTTCGTAAGTTTTGTGGGCTCTCATACTTGCGTAAGCGTTCTATGACTTCTTAAATCGATGTTTGTGTATCAATTAATCCATCAATCAATCACTTAATCAATTAAAAACAATGTTATGTATCTCCATTTCTTAGGCCGCTATGCAGCTTCAGGACCGTGGAATACACAAACAATTACTGGCATTGAATTCTGTCATACGGGATCTCAAGACCACCCTTCAWGAATCATGGGAAAACGAAGAYACTCTGAACCAGACTCCCGAAGACGATGTAGACGGGGAGGCACTATGTTCTACTAATACACAGGTATCCCACACTAAGCAAGATTCAGGAATTCTAACAGATGAGGAAAGTGATGAAGAATGCGACATCTTTGAACCTCAAGATGTGGTCCGTCCACTTCGAGGCAGATCACAAAGTACGTCTGCAATCTGCATTTCCAGCGGTAGTTATACAGGACCAGAACTAGACATCAATCAAAATGTCAAAACATCAATCAAAGGTCGAGTGATAACACCTCGACCCAGGTCCCACACTGTAGGCGAAGGACAATTCCACAGGGTAACCAGCATGCCTGTGATCAATGAAATCCCGGGTAGTACAAACTTTACATTCAGCGGTAAAGCGTTCGCCGTTTCAGGGTATCTAAACAGACCAAGAAGTTCACACGAGACGTCGTCTCCTGCTTCTCTTTCTCGGCATGGTAGTATGCCTGTTATCTCGAATATTGGAAGGACTAACGTACGGCATGTTCGCTCAGAGACGGTGCCGATACACAGAGGTCTTCACAAAACCTTCAGCTCAACTAGTCAGGTTAATAGGACAAACAAAAAACCGCTGTACAGAATATGGCGGTCGTCAAGCCAGATATCATTAGTATGAAGAATGGTTATGAGTTCCTCCACCCCTAACCC